CTTAACTCATCGAAAGTCAGATATCGCGGCATATTGCGCCATCTTCTTGTTCAGAGCTGTCTAAGTGGACAATGTAATAGGCCACGGTTCTGTAATATTTTAGAATATTTCTCCTGCAGGTCTAAATGCATTTCGCATCACCTTATTCACTAGTGCGTCTGTTGAGATCATCTCCTCGAACGGTGTGTATAAGTAGAATGTACTAACACTGAACAACTAGAGACGAAAAGCTGAATTGAGTTTTGTCATCATTCAGAGGGTGGTCAGCAAGCTGTGTAAATTTTTATCAATTTTTTGCGGTCCTCTTGACGGGGCGGGATTGACATTAATTTCTGTCAGTTTTCAAGTCTCGTCAGACCAGGTAGTCTCAGTCATTCTTCTTATCTCGTCGCAAGTTGCTGCTAAATTACACTATTCAGATATTAACAGTAATAGCATAAATGAAATTGCTCACGCGGGATAATGTTTTGGCTTTCGGCGAGGAATATTTCCTCCTGTGATGCAGTAACCTGCGCCTTGCAGCAAAAGTGTTCAAAGGTGGCGGATACAACAGAAATCACAAGCGAAAGACGTTCTGCTTATGCAAATGGCGGAGTGTGATGGTCTTAACAAATAGACACACAACAGGCTTTGGCTGTTGTTCAGTTATTAGAAAGATGGGATTTTTCTTCTTTCAGAAATTGCGGTTTTCTGCCTTCAGTAAAATGCTTTCCGAAACGTGGCTGAAGTAGACTTTTCGTACTAAGCTTTCATACCGAAGGCAAACGAATCTGTAATAAACAGTCGAATCTGCTGCCATATTCGATTGTAAGATAGTCATTCTGCTGACAAGTTGAGACCTGACAGAAGTGAGCTTCGCTGAACTCGTCAGCAGGATATTTAAACTTCAACTCATTTACACATTAGAGCGTTCGCTTTAGTCACAACAAGCGCGTGGCGTTTCACTTCTTAACCTGGCGGGTTTTGGTACTGTGCAAACAAGCGCGTGAGCGACACTGAGCTTCAGTGAGTTGGCAGCGCGAGCAGTACTCACGTCTGTACGCCGAGGCAGAATAGAACACTTTTGCATAGCTGTATCATATGTGACGTTGATTTCGCGTGAAGTCAGCGGCTTTGTTCGTCCTGCGTCGGATCAAGTTGATCGCCTACTGCAGGCAAGTTGATGAGCTGCTATCCGGTACACACTGAGGATATGTGTGGGACTATGATATTTACAGAACCAAGTCCGCATTCCTAAAGTTAGCATACCATTATTCCTCACTTAACTTAGCCCAACTTGTTTTGTGTTAGTAAATATTTGCTTGGCAACTCCGTAAGGTCTAGCTACGCGAAACTGGATTCCGTGTGCGTGTTTCTCAACTGAACTTGAAGCGTAAACAAATCTTATATCCATGAGGTCACATTCAAGCATTTCGGTCATGTCGCCGTTACGTGCACCGAAACGCGCGCGGCAGCATTTTCTCGGCGTTGTCTGCAGAAACAACTTGCACTCATTACCATGCTTGCCGTGCTTCTATGAAGACTCAGATCTGTGCTAGTCACCTAACGTTTTTACAGTTGTACATTACTGTCGCTTCATTGATCGTTATAAAGACTGTGAATAGTGACGTAAC